CCAGCACATGATACCAGAGCAACACCACTATTTGATCTACCAATTAGCAGAACTGATTACACAAAATATGAGCCAATAAATTATATGCTTACATCATTCAACGATTATTATGACAAAAAATTGCAAAACAGTGATAAAAGTTTTATTGATTTAGAAGTAAATTTATCAACAGTTAAACAAAGAATAGAAAATTATTTAAAGCAAAACAGATAAATACAAAATGTTTGTTATGGATTAGTAGTTGCAAAATTAATTTATGAATATTATATTATTTACATGTAAGGAGAGAAGCAATAATTTTTCAGTTACACTTTCAAAAATGCTTGAATGAAAGATTTTCCTCTCATCGCCCAAAACCCCAACAAATTAAAAGAATTTCTTCGTAAGAAAAACGAACACATTATAAAATGTACGTATATAAAGTAGTAGTGCAGTACTGAAATGAAATAGGAAAAACTTAAAATAGATTTTTCTCGCTTTTCCCATTGAAAATTGTGAAAAATAAGCAAAATGTTTGTCAAAGGAGTCAACATTTTGCCTATTTTTCATGATTTTCTCGAAAAAAGCGAGAAAAATCGATTAAAAGTGTTTCCTATTTCCATTCATTACTGCAACACTTCTTTATATACGTACTTTTTATAACGTATTCGTTTTTTTACAAAGAATCCGAACAACGAACGAACGATTCGAACATAAATGTAACGAACAAAATGTAAAAAACGAACGAACAAAATGTAAAAAAAACGCTACGAATGAACGAACGGTTTGTTTGTAGATATTCGTGGACAGCTCTGGCTTATAATGAAAAACACTGCCGTGGTGACTGTTCGTGAAAATCAATCAGAACATTGAACATTTTGACTTCAAAAGGGCTGTAACCCTATTTAAAAAGCCGATTCGGTAAAAGTGCCCATATACTTTTTTACTATTTTTTTTTTTTTTTTAAATATTACTACTAATTATGAATCACCTATATATATATCATCTGTATAAACTTAAGCAAATTGTGCAAAAAATATATTTTATTCTTTAGTTTAAAAATATGGAGAACTTAAATTCTGATTTCTTTTGAGGTCACTTCGGTGCTTATATCAATTCAACATTGAATTCGATGTGGTTCAAGTGAAAATGTTGAATGGACCTAAAAGATTTAATTCCTTCGAATTCAAAACATTCCGGGACGATCTGATTCTTGATTTCCAGCTTTTTCAAAAAACATTGCATCCTAGAAAAGGTATGTATATCGAAAATTAATATTTAAAAAATTATGCATATATGTTTTTATTATGCATATAATATCGCATATATGAATGGCTGCTTCGAGAGTTTCATATATTTATTTATTGATTTTTAATTGTTTCACTCTTGCGTGTTCAAATTTTTCGATTCGTTGTACGCAAAGCATTATTCAAGTTTCTATCTTCTATGTGCATAGTATTTGAGTCATAATTTTTCTCAGCTCTTCATATATTTATTGCATATTTACTAAATAAACCACCAGGCGAAGGAATGATGTACGGTGTAGTCATTATGATTGTTATTGTAAATGCACAAACTTGTCACAAAAATTATAGCAAACATAGGTGCGTGTCGTTGCCCCCCCCCTTATTTTGTACCATGACAATTTTTAAATCAAAATTTAGTACTCAATTTGTACTCTTCAAAAATACCATTTTTAAAATTTGTACCACTCAAACCACCGAGTACAAATTGCTCAAACACAGGAAAATCACGAAAAACGTAATTTTTGTATGGGATTTTTTTTTAAACGGGATTTTTTTGGAAAGTTTTTTTTACAGCGATTTAGTACTCAATTTGTACTCACAGAAAATATGTACTTTTGTACACTTTGGTCCCATAGGGTCGGATCACAAATTGTCCTAACACGTAAAAATCACAAAAAAGTGATATTGTTGTATGGGATTTTTTTATATGGACTTTTTTTTGGAAAATTTTAATGCTGGAAAAAATATTTTTCAATTTTTTATGTGCCGATTGGTAAAACTTATTCAACTAATAGTTTCTTTTGAAAAATATGCCTCAGAGATGTCAAAAATGGTAAATTTAATTCGTTGTTGGTTGATTTTACATTAAATACCACATATTTTCTCTCTGTGTAAATAGCTTGTATAAACTATTTTATCTGTTCGTATGCTTATGAGATTTGCCTGTTCTGACAACTACAAGTTTTGAGCCGTATAGATAAGCTTAAGAGGAATTCCTCTTATTCTACGGGCAGTGGTGACCCCATGAGTGTACTTTGCCTCATCTGCTAAGTCATAACATGACTGTCATGGCCTCTAATATTTGAGTGTGCTTTAATCCAGACCAACCGGATGTCTCGGCAATACTCTGTAGTAAATTCTAGCAGTCCATAACTAGGCTATTTTCCACCAAAAAATCCTGAAGTCAGTGAAAAAAGCCACGGTTTCTAACACTCTGTCTTCCAGAATCATACATGTACCCTCACTCATGGAGTAAAGGCCACATTCAGTGGAAAGTCCTGAAGTTCGGAATCATCAGTGAAATAGGCTAAATCCAAATGTTATGCTGAAAGAACTCGTTCAAAATTTGCAAAATTCCTGTTGTAAAACTACTTCGTGAGAATGTGAGATAGCGTTTCCACACTTCTATCGATTATGAAGAGATTATGCGACTTTGTATTTGAAACGTTTACAAATATATTTGCTTTTATTTGAGTTCTTGGCCTAAAAGCCATTTTCATGGCTTTAGATTCAATGCAGTCTTCCAGTTTAGGTAAGCCCAAAAGAAGTCCTTACATTAGATAAGAATCAATATCTGGAAACGCTATATGGAAATATTTTGACAGGAAACCTTCGAACAAACGAACCGGCTAGAATATTTGAATGAGGTAGAATAAAAACTACTTCTCGAAAAATTCAAAATAGAAATGGAACCCAAAACAATCATGAGATTAAAGGAAGTCAAAGAAAAAGTTTCAATAAAAGTGAAATATATATTTTATTTCACACGCTATTGAAAATAATTTTATAATTCATTTCTATTGAAATTTTTTTTAGTATTCGATTTAATCAAAGAATTTTTAACGGGTCCATTTCTATTTACAACTTTATTTTAATTCGTTTTTAATTATTTTTTCATTGGTTGAAAATACGTATGTATGAGAATTGAGAAAAATATCTGTTCAATGGGTATCACATAGCAAGTTTATATGAAACTCGGTATAGAGCACTCAAACAGTGAAAAAAGTCCAGATCGTGATTTAGATGATATGGAATGCGATTTTTTTCATTCTGATTTCACCAGGTGATATAGAAAATTGAGTAGTATTTGAGAATTGAAGAAAGAAAATTTAATTATTTTTTTCATTTTTCACGATTTCTCACCATTTACATGGGAGGCTTGTATGAAAAATACGGAAGACCGCTGAAAAGGCACTGCCGTAGGTCCGTATACATTTAGCGTTTGCCGGCAATACTTGAATTTTTTGATTCTAAAATTTTTTTTTAGTTTGCTTTTATAAAAAATAGGTATCGAAATGGAGTTTGATGTTTTGACTTTTTCAGTAATAAGTTGTCAAACAAATTCAAATCAACTCAAATAAATCCAAATAACAATGAATCATATGAATCGTGTCTTCCCCTAGGGCAAACTGCTGGACAAGTGTCACCATTTACCTCACATACGTAGGCTGCTCCATATATTTCTAGAAAAGCATATACAACGCAATCGTTTTTTATCAAAAATGGCTTTATTGTTTTTCAAAGTATTCGCCATGATGGTCGATACACTTTTGCCGTAGCATTCATGCCACTCCAAAACCGATATCTCCAAAACGTGTGTTTTGAACGCATCAACTGCTTCTTCTGGCGTCGAAAATCGTTGACACGCAGTTTTTTTTTTTACGCTAGGAAACAAAAAGAAATCGTTGGGTGCTAAATCAGGACTGTACGGTGGATGACCCATTAATTCGATCTTTTGAGCGGTCAAATATTCAGTTGTATGATGAGATATGTGAGAGCGAAGCCCGATCATGGTATAGGATTTCCTATATAAACCTTGTAACTAACAACACCTCTAATGCGTATTCCGAGTACTAATCGAAGTTTGTGACAATATGGCCGTCACAGTTTGGCAAAATCATAATGAATCGATTAAACTGCGTTAAAATGTTAAATTAAAACAGTAGAAATAAATATTAATTTTTTACATTTTTGAAAATAAAAAATCTTTTGTTTTTTTTAATTTTTTGAGATTTTCTGTACACAATATTCAAAAATATTAAATTAATAAAAATGAATTGGTTGACATAACCTCACTTTTGTGTCACAATCGTGATAAACCGATCAAATAATTATTGTAAGATAAATAATCATATAAAGATTTTTTATTTTCAAAAATGTGAAAAATTAAAATCTATTTATTTCTACTGCTTTAATTTAACAGTTTAACGCAGTTTAATCGAGCCATATTGTCCCAAATTTCGATTAGTACTCGGAATACGCATTAGAGGTGTTGTTAGTTACGGGCATGATCAGGCTTCGTGTGAGAGCTCACATTATCATGATGAAGAATTATTCTGCGACGGTGGTTAGTTTTTCTTAATTCACCAAGTTAGAATTGACTGTTCTACGATCCTCTAGTGGAACTGTTGCCACATGTCCACTAATTGCGAAAAAACAGGCGACCATTTGCTTCGCAACACTTCGAGCGCGAACAACTTTCGTTGGATTATCTTCACTTTGGAAGACCCATACTGTCGACTGCTGTTTAGTTTCGGGATCATACGCATATATCCACGATTCGTCGCCTGTGACGATGTTATGGACGGAATATGATGCACCGCGGTTATAGTTGTTGAACATTTCTTTGCACCAATTCACACGAGCTAATTTTCGGTCATCGGTCAATTTATGTGGAATCCAACGAGAGCAAATCTTTTTTACGGCCAAATGTTCATGCAAAATCGTGTGTATGCTTCTCATGCTAATGCCCAAGGATGCCTCAATCTCACGGTATGTGACATGACGATCTTGCTTTATCATGTTTCTTTCAGCATCGATAGTTTCTGGAACAACAACCGATTTTGGACGAACTTCACGGAATTCGTCGATGAGCGAATGACGACCACGATTGAATTCAGTAAACCAGTGATATACAGTGGCCTTGCATGGAGCTTCATCGCCAAAGACCAAATGAAGTTGATCAAAACACTGTTGTTGAGATACAACCAATCCAAAGTCGTAGTAAATTATCGCACGAAAATTTTTACGAGTAAAATTCATTTTTTTTGTTGAGACGCAATTTAGATGTCACTGTAAACAATACAAATAGCGCGCGTATGACAGAACGTTCTGAGATCGTTTATGCTACCAAATGTTAAACTTAACGAATATGACAATGGTTTGTATCGGACAACACTAAATATTGCCAATTCTAGAAATATATGGAGCAGCCCTCGTATTTGGATTCATCATGAAAACCTAGCTAACTTTTTCAAACAGTAAAAATTGATCCAAGGATAATCCCGAAACCCAAATAAAAGTCATTTGATTTTTGATAATACTTTTAAAAGGGTTTATGTGTCCGACCCAATGAGTTGTACAAATATATGTACTCAGAATAGTAAATTTATTAAATAATTCGAACCAAGATTCGAACAATTTTATCAAAATTCGAAGAAATTGAAATTTTTAAGATTAGTGCTCGGCACGTATAAAATTGAAAAATATTTTTTCCAGCATTAAAATTTTCCAAAAAAAGTCCATTTAAAAAAATCTCATACAAAAATATCACTTTTTGTGATTTTTACGTGTTAGGACAATTTGTGATCCGACCCTATGGGACCAAAGTGTACAAAAGTACATATTTTCTGTAAGTAAAATTTGAGTACTAAATCGCTGTAAAAAAAAAATTCCCAAAAAAATCCCGTTTAAAAAAAATTCCCATACAAAAATTACGTTTTTCTGTGTTTGAGCAATTTGTACTCGGAACCTACGAGAAAAAAGTGTACAAAAGTATATGTTTTCTGTCGGTACAAATTGAGTATTAGATCGATGTGCAAAAATTTTCCCAAAAAAATCCCGCTATAAAAAAAATTCGTTACGTTTTTCGTGATTTTTTCGTGTTTGAGCAATTTGTACTCGGTGGTTTGAGTGGTACAAATTCTAAAAATGGTATTTTTGAAGAGTACAAATTGAGTACTAAATTTTGATATAAAAATTGTCATGGTACAAAATAAGGGGGGGCCAACGACACGCACCTAGCAAACATGCTGTGTTCGATTTTTGTTTTTGAAAATGAAAAAAACGGCTATTGCGGCTTTTGTAGACCTGGTCGAGAGTTACAACTTTTGTTCTGGCACTTTGGTCTACACCCCCCTCATTTTCACCGCGGTCGACTTGAAGTTTGAAATTTTTCAAATGAATTTTTTTCAATAAATTTGTATGAAAGTGAATTGGTTTTAATATTGTTGTAGATAGTATTAGAGGAGCTATATAAGATAGGCCCATCACGAAAATGCACTTTTGATTTTTTAGGAAAAAAAGTTGCAACGAAATGTTTCTTCGCCCATCGATTTTCAAAAGAGACATCCATCAATATTTTTGCTCAAAATTCATGTATTTTTGAATTCCGCATGCCCAATTTACTAAAGCACCATGAATCGCCGCAAAACTTTTTCCTGCAAACTTTTCTTCAGAGCTCATTCGTCAATCAGAGCATTGGTTTTCATACAAAATCTCAAAATTTTCGCTTAAATGTTCACACATCGACTTGAAATTTTACACGGAGCTAGGATTTGATGAAAAATGACCAAAGCCATGAAATAATTTCATTCTGTTGTTGTCTTGTTGACTAGAATTATGTTTAGTATATGTCAACAAAATGAATTTTTGTTTTTTCATTCGGAACCATTACACTAAACACATCCTGTTTATATTCTGGTATTAACTAGTAATTATGATGTACCTTTAGCCACGTATTTATAATGTTCATTTTTGTCAATTTTTGCACTTCACTGCACCTTCAAAATGTAATCCTAGCAAAATAACGCCCTGGAAATTATATTTTAGCCACCTCTAACCTCTACAACAATATCAAAACCAATTCACTTTCATACAAATTTATTGAAAAAAATTCATTTCAAAAATTTCGAACTTCAAGTCGACCGCGGTTAAAATTAGGGAGGTGGAGGCCAGAACAAAAGTTGCTACTCTCGACCAGGTCTACAAAAGCCGCACTAGCCGTTTTTTTCATTTTCAAAAATAAAAAATCGATGCACCCTAGCGCTTATTGAATTATTCAATGCACATTTTCGCTGACGATTTCACCAATACGCCGGTTTTTGTTACTAGTGCTATTTTGACACAGCTCGAGCGAACTATGTAGCTATAGCTGTACTCCAAACGTAAAGGAACACAATAACTCCAATTCATTGTATGCGTATTGCGTATGTATTGTAAATTTTGAATAAGCAGCTATGATTGATAACTGAGTACAGTATTTGCAATACATAGGAACACACAGAATCGGTTTTAAAGTACTCATAGTGTTATAGTGAGAAAATTTCTTTATAGATTTTAAAAATATAAAATAGAATTCATTCGTAGAAACTTACGATTAAAAAACAAGCACCGAGCATAACAGCTTTCATTCGTACATCCAAATCCATCGGAAAATTTATACCAAAGAAATCACTGTCTGTGAACATTTCACGCGCAAGTCCTGCCCATTGTTTTGGAAAAATAATCATATTCAAAATAACATTTGATTTGTACTGGGTATACATCACCAATCCTGCCCATTCGTACCTGCCCATTGTTTTGATATTTTTCCGACTTCTGTTCCATTTATCGTTAAAATCTGTAATTTGAAAATGGAAATATTATATAATATTCCTTTGTATCATATTTTAAGATCATCACTCAAGTGTTACCTTAAATTCAACGTCCCCACAAATGGAAAAAGTACACAAAGGTCCTTCAATACGCAAAACTGTTTCATTATTATGATTTTTTATAGAAAAACTTGGATAACAAATTGACCATTCTTGTTCGATACGGCCAATAACAGTTCCAGGTGGTGCAGAAACATCCTTGATTTTGAATAATTATATACCCAGAATTTGTTTAGTAAAACTTAATGCTACTTATGACATTGTACGTTTACGTATCAGAAAAATTTATAAAAGTAGCTAAACCATGCGTAATTAAATTAGTAAATATTGAGTTTATATTCACAGTACACAGAAAAAATATCTACCAACTAATCGTAACTAACAAAATATCGTCACAAATCAATATCAGAAATTTTGTGTTCCAAATTTTGGTTTCGTCACTCGTTCTTCACCTCGATACAGGTTTCTCATTTGATATCAATATTCTGTAATGTAATTTTAATTGGGAAAATCCAAAAAATAACGAATTTCCATACCCTCCTAGGGGTAGGGGTTGTAACACCATGAGAACTCGACTTCCAGAACACTTTGGACCACAAGATTCATTTTCGGGGGAACGAATTAATGTCTGACGAATTAATGTCTGGATTAAAATTGCAAACTATTGTCTAGACAGTAATTTGCCAGACATTATTTCGCATTTCCCAGACAACATTTCGTAGAAATTATATTCGAATGGTGAAATTTTGTCTGACAAAAAGTGAATTAATGTCTGAGTATATGTACTCAGACATTAATTCATCGTTATGCTAGACAAAGTTTCGTTATTTATGTGAATTGTTGTCTAGTATAACGACGAATTTATGTCTGAGTACTTAAGTACTCGCCTATTTTACAATTTCGGGAAAATGTATTTCGGGAAATATGTTTCGGGAATTAGTGCGGTCACCAAATAGTCAAGATAGCAGATACCAAATCTGACCCAATTGAAGTAACTTCTGGTACTGGTCAAGGTTATCCCATTGGCGCAACTTTGTTCATCATGTTTGTGATAGATCCACCTTTCGTCGTGACCAAATCATGCATCCTTTCATTCGCTGATGATACCAAGATTTCAAAATGTATAAAATCAGAAGATGACTGCATTCATCTTCAAAAGGATTTGGATCGTGTGGCAAATTACTATGAACGCAATTTATTAAAGTTGAACGTTAACAAAACAAAAATAATATCATATCATCGAGGATTACTGAAATATGAATATAATTACAACGTAGATGGCGTGCAAATTGAAAGAGTTGAAATAATGAAGGACTTGGGAGTATTGCTTGATGTGAAGATGAATTTCAAATCACACATCGAGCATGTTGTTGCAAAGGCAAAATCAAGATTGGCTTGGTTAAAATTCAACAGCAGGGATTTTGTCGACCCATGGACTTTAAAACACCTTTACTTTACATTTATATTACCGATTATTGAGTATGGATCTGAAATATGGAATCCACACTACGACAATATGTGCAAAAGAATAGAGTCAATACAAAAACAATGTTTAATATATGCTCTGAGGAGAATGGCCTGGAAAGATTTTAGACTGCCAAAATACAAACACAGACTACTATTTCTGCAAATGAATACTCTTGAGGAGAGACGCAAGACGGCGCAAGTGTCTTTTATTTTCAAAATTATTCACGGAGATTTAAAGTCAACTTATGTTTCAAACAGTATGAAATATTACGATCCAGCACATGATACCAGAGCAACACCACTATTTGATCTACCAATTAGGAGAACTGATAACACAAAAACGAATTTTATACCAAAAAATTGCACAACAGTGATAAAAATCTTTTTTATTTCAAGTATTTGTGAAATGTGTTTGTTTACACTCTATATGTGTCTATCGTTTTTTTGTTTTTAAAAATATTTATTGTGCGATTTATGTATTAAAAACTGAACGAAAAAATTATTTTAGTGACTATTTATTAGAAAACAATCGAGTGCATTGACGTTATTTGATATTTTGTGTGAAAACATTTAAACAAACATTCAACATTTGGTGTGCAGATACATTGCATTGCACAATGGTGCATAAATGTGATAGAGACACTTGTGAACCGAAAAATGTGTCCGGACCGAAAGAAAAATGTGCCAAATGTGGAAATTTGTGTTTTTTGCGTTGTTTTGGCATTGACAAATGCGAAAATGAAAATGGAAAATTCGAAACGTTGCAAATAAAATTAGGTGAAAGTGCGGTTATGTATGCGATTTTGCCTTGCACTGTGTTTGTTTGTTGTGAACCGCTGTCAACGGATGAATTGAGCGCGAAACTCAATGTACCGGGTGGTCCGGAAAAAAAGTCAACATCGGTTACACCGGGTGGTAAGTTAAAATTGACACAAGTAACTACACCCAAGGTACGTCAATCGAAATTGACTGAAACATTTGCCGAAACAAAATCTGATGCTGGAAATTCGTCGATTTTATCCGAATTAGCAAAAATTAAAGGCATGATTTCGGAATTAAATGGCAAAGCAGCTGAAATACACGAGGATACACAATTTTTGGCGCATAAAACTATCGCCCGAACTGATTCGACACAAAAGAAAATTGTCCCGCGCAATATTTCACTGACACATGCCTCAAAATCATCGTTTGTTCATACCCCCGTCAAATCATTCGCTGACGCATTACGAAGTGGTGCACAGACTCAATCGGCCAAACGACCGCGCATTGATAACTCACCGAAAATTCCTCCGAAAGCTAAAATCACGAAATTTGAAGCCCCACCGCCAAAAGTGGGTACAAAATCAGCCACACATCGTCTGAATGTTGTAGTAAAGCCGAAACGAATTGAAAAACCGGTATTTAAAAAGGCAATTTGGATCTCTGGCTTCAAGCCAATGACCACATCTGAAGAAATCATCGAATACATTGTGAAAGAAACATCGGTAAACGAACAATCGAGATTCAATGTGCACAAACTGGTGAAAAAAGACAAAGATGTCACCACATTGAAGTTCGTTTCGTTCAAAATCGAATTAAATGAAGACGATTTTGACATTTTGATGAATCCGGAAGTGTGGGAAGAGGATGTGCTTGTGCGTGAGTTCTTGCAGAACAAAACTTTGGGTGATTTTTTCCCGCCATTAAATCCGAAAAACATCAGCAAGTCACCGGTACCAGATTCAATGGATTTGACCATATCACCGAGCATAGTCACCGAATAGTCGAACAATCAGGCCACATCGTACAAAACGAAGAACGAACATTGACACCGCATCGAAAACAAACAAAAAACTCGCCAAAAATAGTCTCGAAGCACACAAAACTGAATGTGTATATACAGAATACACATTCAATTCGGGACAAAGTAGATGAGGTACGATTAGCAACAAAATCGTGTCCATTTCATATAATTTCTTTCTTCGAAACGTGGCTTCAAAAGAACATTACTGACATTGAACATTTTGGCAAACGTTATAATGTGTATCGTGGTGATCGGACGGAACTCACAAGTGATAGAATTGATGGTGGAGGAGTGCTGATTGCTGTTGAATGCCAATTTAACAGTGAAAGGCTGATTCTATCGGAGCGCAGCGGACTTGAGCACGTATGTGTAAAAATTTCGTTCGATTCGTGCAATATTTATGTATTTGCTGTGTACATTCGGTCGGTACATGAAACCGCAAAATTCTTGGAATTTGCTGAGATCGTCAAGCTGATTCCATACAATGAACATGACATTGTAATTGTATGTGGTGATTTTAATCAGCCAGGTGTCAAATGGGTCAAAGCCGATGACGGTGAATATTATTTGCCAATTAATGTGTCGACAGAAGGTGGCATTGCTGTTTTTGACACAATGTTCGACTGTGGATTCCAACAACTGTCAAATATCGTGAATCCAGCCGGCAATGTTTTGGATCTTGTATTCACAAACAGGTTCTACGAAATGTCGTTGATTGAATCGACAAGGCCATTGGTAAAATCGGACATTTGGCACAAAGCACTCGAAATGGAAGTGACAATTGATGAAAATGAGATCACATCACCGCAGTTTTCACAAATTTATGCGTATAACTCGGCCGATTTCGATGCGATGAATTCATTCTTCGTTGGAAATCACATTTTGTCAGAAATTGATCGAATAGATGACCTCGAGAATGCATTTCACATTTTTGGAAATGTTCTACACGAGGCGATCGATTCATTTGTCCCGAGGATAACCGTTCAAAGTGGCACTGATCCACCATGGTACACGAAACAATTGAAGCACATGAAAAATGTCAGAAGAAAAGCATACAAGCAAGCAAGGCAGACTGGAAATTTCGACGAATACAATAACATCACGGATTCGTTCATCCAATTACAAAGTCAGTTATTTAAATCGTACATCAGCCGCATACAATCACAAATCAAATCAAATCCAAAACACTTTTGGCGATTTGTGAATGATCGAAGGAAACGGAGCGATATTCCAGCTATCGTTGAGTATAATGATGTGACAGCGAATACCGACACATCGAAAGCGGAATTATTCGCTGATTTTTTCGAAAATCAGTACACACGAAGCGACATTATCGACTTGGATGAATTGCTGGATGAATGTGGAGACGTATCATTTGACTTTGAAATCACTGAAGCCGATGTGTTAAAGGCATTGCAATCCATTGACGCGAACAAAGGAGCCGGTCCAGATGGAATATCACCGAAAGTGTTGAAGAACTGCGCACACTCATTGTCGAAACCGTTAACAGCGCTATTT